AGTTAAAGACGCGTTTGCCGTGTTTTCCGGTCATACGCGTAGATTGTTATGCAAAATGAATTATTTGACTGCATACGGAGATACCTGCGCGCTGTGATTGGTATCTCTGCTTCCACAGAAGACATTGCGTGATAAAATATCAAAGGTAATTAAATACCCATAATTTGATTTATGTTCGCGTTTGGTCAACATGCATTAGCTAGTTGTTAAGTAATTTTGCCTATCTTTTTACGTGACAGCAGGATAACCACAAGAAGTGACGTATATCGCGCGGCCCACATGTTGAGCGCAATAGAAATGACTTGTGCTCGATATTTTTCCTCCTGAGTGACTCTTGCGCTGTCCCTACCTTACTCTCACCTTCCCTCCTTGCTGAAAAATATAAACAGCCTGTTTGCGCGTGCCATAGACTTCCTAGTCTCCTTGACATGCATCATGCTTCTTTAGGAGTGGTTTGGATCTCGAATGTGTGAGTGCAATATACGTTTCAATAAGAAGTATCTATCTAAACCAGTCTCTCAGCCTTCTATTTCCTCTAGTATATTTCGTTGGGGGCCGAGTCATCACGCTATTTGGCAACCTTTCAAGCCAAAGCACTTAATGCATTGTTATAGATAAAAATACGTTTTATTTACTGTAGAGAAGTGTGCCTATTGTCTGTGAGGATGGTTCCACAGTGTCGGCATCATTCTTTCTTTTCAACTCCAGTCGACTGTCTGAGCCTGTTAAACAAGCGATGATAACATAGGGCGCAGTGTCTGACCTTTCCATGTCGTACCCTCCGAATCTTTGATCTTGACTTCCTACAGGAGTTTGACATTAAGTAATTTGAGCATTTTACAGAGATGGTTCATATTTAGCCTAATCACATGTGTTGGCAGGTTGACCGAGGTATGGTGATGTGGTCTGAGATGAATTCCACGTATTCGTATATGGCCGAATAAGACCAAATGAATACTGAATGTGCAGGGGCAACTTAGGCAGGTAAGGAGGAAGCGACCGTAAATATCTATGGTCGTGACAATGTTTCTCTGGTTTCAGCGTGAAGCATTTGGAAATGACTGGCAAGGCCTTTGCAAGATAAAAGGTTCGGCGACAATAAAAGGAGGATAGTATTATATTTACTGACCTGGTGGTCGTGGGGTTGCTGGTGGTGTACTTATTATTGTCCATGGTAGAGGAGTTTTCCGGTTTAGGATTATTGTGGTGATACTGTGATAAATTCCACTGTCCTATGTGCGCATTATATTAAAAGTCAGGTGACAGTGAATGTAGTTTAAGTGTCTATGAAGGATCTATGTTTAGGCCTATAGTCCTGATTTACAGGTCTCGATATGATGGATTCGCAATTGACAATCGCATTGAAGTCAGACTGGGTCCGACTTCACGTAGCTGTTATTCAGGGCAAAGGATATAACGGTTTGTGGGACAGAAAGAGTGTTCTTATTGGTTATAGTAATAGAGACAGTATTGTGTGATGGACGCAAACTTGTTGAGTTACCATTGCAATGCGCCGTCACTGTCTACTGAAGCCGAATTGTGCCGGGAATGCTTATTTACGATGTAAAAAGATTTTAATTTTAGGTGCTTTAGTCACTGCCCCTTAACGTTTGAGTCTTGCGGACCTTCCTTCTTGTCTTGGCAACGATAATTCTGTTGGCTTCGAAGCTGGCTCCTCTTTTCTTCAAAAGAGCCCCTAGAATGTCAAAATATCTACTTTCCCATGGGCCTGCTAATTTCCGGAAGTTCGTCGTTAGATAACTTAAAGTGAAACCAAAATTTTAGGCTGCCATCGGGACAAGATTAATCTCCCACCCCGCAGAACATCATAACTACGTTCAGTACATTCGTCTGAGCATTGCTGACAGTTCAAATTGCAGTTTTTCCTGGTCAGACTCCTTTACAGTCGTCAAAACGGGGACACTACCAGGACACGGGACAACCACTGGTAACGCAGTTTTAGTGTAACATTGTCCCTGAGGTTATCGTCCGTTCCAATTACACATCGGCTACCCTGAAATATCGACCAACCTTTATCGAGCGCCTATTATCTATCAACGCTATCCACAATATCCATACGTATCAAGCGTCTGTTAGACAATATGCGGACATACGAGAATACAGATAAAACGGTCTATCCTGCCTGTACTTTATAGAAATCGCCGCACAAGCATGAACAAGAATACTATATTCCAAATGGGTATATTTAATCACACACATACCCACGGCGACGATCCTTAACGCATCATGTTATTCGTGTGGCACTGGTGGGATGCGGTTTTGCTATAATCGGTAGAAGAATAGAAACGCAGATGTATGTGCGCACATATTATTTATTTAAAGATTGAAATTTGGCGAAGGCCAGTGATATAAAGCCTAGAGCTAGAGGCCGACACGTCATGCCAGTCACTGAGCCATTTTTCATTACAAATCGGCCAAATTATTCCAGCAGGTCACTGATACATATGAGAGGGGAGTGAATGAAGTCGATTTCTGAATACCACGAAAACTGAGTTCGTTCCCCATTAGTAAAACTATGATGCGCTTGAACCTATTGCTATGCACTAAAGTCGTGGATATAAAGATTGCTAACTGACCAGATAAATTGATCCACCTTTGTCACAAAGTTCAGAACCGTAATGTCTTCCTTATGTGGCCTTTATAACACGTGTCAGGCGCACGAGATTAGGCCTATGTATAGCCTGTTATACAGCGTATTCACATTATCTCATCCACACCGTACAATCACACTGATAGTCGCCTTGACTCGAATAGGCTACCAGTATATTGAAAACCGAATAGTGATTTGGCCCAATTCGAACTCAGCACTCTGTTCACCAACTATAAACAACACGCGTTGAAAGTTGCCCAATTTGCTTGCAGTTGTAACTGACGGGACAACTCGGTCTTATCATGGGCTGATTGTCGGACAGTAGTGGCTTCTTAATGTGGCACTTATGAGATTCTGGTTCATGTAAGCTTCGAGAATCTCGATAAAACTGAATAGTCGGGAAGTTGGGAATCGCGTAGCACGTAACACTAGCAGGTGGGTGGTTGATTTTTGTCTGCCATAGCACTCGCACCCAGTCGTTCTGATTTCCTAATGTTGTACATGTTGGAAGAGAGAGAGAATGAGGGAGATGCTGCACCATCCGCTTCACTATACAAGACCTAACACGAATTCCCCACTTCGTTTACCTTGCTGGTCGGTGATAGATCTCGTCAAATGTGGCTACTGATCTTTTGCATAGGTAGGCGTGACTGTGTCCGTTTGAAACTTGCGTAACTTCAGTAAAAATATCTGCCTTGAGAAATTTGACTTAGCTAGCCTTTCTTGTTATACCGCGAATAGTTTAATACATGATTCCATGAGTGATGTTACTTTATCGTTGGTCACCATTTTGAGATGGTGTTCTGTTTTCTGAAACACCGTATTAGTTTTTGGTCTTCGAGTTTGAATAGTAAGTTGACAATTTGAGTTTCTCCTGAGCTACACTTTTTGCTTAACTGTCTTTATCGACACAACTGGGTAAAATATTTGATCATCCGACTCTCAATGAAATCCAGTCAGCAATGGCTTCTGAGGTAAGGTTGTTGGCTAACTTACTCCGCTTATTATATATTCTACACACAAACAACTCTTGGGTAATTTCTGCCCCAACGGGAAGCGGGAAAACTGGATTACTTGAACTCGCTCTATGCAAACTTCTCTCGGATGTGAAAAAGTTACAGTCAAATACGCTGCCTAAAGCAATCTACCGTAGGTGTCCGCTTTTATTAAATAACCTTTTAAGTTGCGCCTCTAAAATCATTGTGTTCTGAGAGAGCAAATTTATGGCAAAATAAGCTTGAGGACTTGCACTACAAATGCTTTGAAATGACCTCAGATTCGCCTATTATTTCTAACGAGGAGGTGCTCGAGGCAGCTTTGCTTATCACTACACCAGTAGAGAGAAATTTCAATCACGGCTAATTTGTTCAGGAGAAAGTCGATGTCATGTTTCGTACCCAACCGGAATTGCGGCCAATATTTTCGAATCTCCAGCTTGTGCTTGTTGATGAGGTAGGTGCATAGTTGATTGCCCACTTCTTTTAAAGATTCATACGCTCTCCGATAGTAGTAGAGGCGCCGTGCTAGAAATCGTGTTGAGGCGGCTGCTAAGCTGTTCCAAAACCAGAATAATTGCTGTTTCTGCTACATTTCCCAACATAAGCGACGTAAATTAGCTTTGCTTTGACCGTCTCTCCCCTATAGCTTTCATCTTGGTTTGCTTTGCTTGGACGGCCCTGCTTTTACCGAAAGTATTTCATAATTACACTTATTGATTCTGAAGTTTCGGATCCGAATTTAGCCCTGTCCCAGTGCGAAAAATCGTGCTCGGTTATAAAAAGTCAAAGAACAGTTCGCTTTTCCAATTCGACCAATTTTTAACGAGAAAACTGACAGCTATTATTCGCGCTCACGCAAATGGGAGGCCAACCCTAATTGTGAGTCATATTTACTTTCTTATAATTCAATTCTAGTTTAGCATTACCCGGAAAACTGTTGAAAATACGGCTGAATGGCTGGCGAATTCCAATATATTTTGCAACGGTATTTCTGAAACGAGCACAGATGGCATTACCGGTCAGCTTTTACGGGGTATGCCTGTTTGGTTTGTATATGCATGTCAAACCATTAGTAAGCAGTGTACAACTTCATACATCATTTGAGCGATTTATTCTTTGGTTTATTACCGTGTAAAGGGTTTTTTTCAAGAGTGGGAGCATTTTATCCATTAGAATGTTGCGAAATCGTCCTTTATGACCGTCCTCTAGCGCTCAATTTTTGTTCTATTCATGTAGAATGTCTCTCGAGAGGTGTTGGTTTCCACCATGCTGGTTTGAGCCTTACCGACCGATATCTGGTGGAACAAGCATTTGTTGCCGGTCAGCTACCTGTTCTGGGTAGATCTGTTTTTACTTTAACATAGTTTTTTGCTTTCTCTAGTGTCAACAAGTACGCTATCAATGGGAATAAACCTCCCCGCGCATCTGGTTATTGTAAAAAATACAATGCAGTATGTTGGGGGTGAAACCCAAGAGTATCCATTCCGGCAAATACAACAGATGATTGGTAGAGCTGGCCGACCAAAGGTTTGCTCTCATTTGCTTAATGTATGAATAGACAAGCAGATAAGCGAAACATTTGAAAGATGCTTCTTCGAATGTTTTTTTCTTCGGTTAGATGCGCGAATAGGTGCCCCTTTATCCCTTATCATAGTCCTAACCCCAAGCTTAGCTTTAGTCTTTATTCCTCTGCAACTTAGTTTAGGGTTATTTGCAATAGAGGAGTTGTTCAACTTACTGAATGTGGTTTCTACTATGATTGCTCTTGTAGTATCCTTTCACTTTAGGGAAAGTTGTTGAAACAGCCGTTAAGAATTTCCAAATAACATACAAGCGAGTACCGAGTATGAGGTTGGTAGCAGACAAATTCGACCAGCCTAACGCAATTACTTTGAAATCCTCTGTCTAAACCACGCTTGCGAACCTAAAAATTGTCTTATTTTCAAAAGATTTTTGATTTAACGGACATAATACAGTCAGTTTAAATGTTGGTTTGGCGTATGCTAACTGAAAATATAAAAGAGTCGTCTATTGCTGAGGAGGAATATTAGGCAAATACTACAGATAGGTTGAAACCCTTGTCTATTCTTCGGCCCGAAAGTCTGTGGTAAAATTCGGTTTCTCGTCAACAAACGAAGAAAACTCCAACACATTCCTGTAGTCCATCTACATAATACGATTCTCGCTTGCAAACAGGTCCTAAATCAGCCGAAATTTAAACGATGTATTCATAAACTATAATAGCCGTACTGGATTATGTGATGTCTGATGCTCGAAATCCTAGACATAATCTTATAAATCAATTTTTGGCGCAGTTTATCAGAACACTTATCGTAGTCTGATGTGGCGGATTTTGCGTCTCAGACTATTCTATTGTAAATTACTAAAAGTTAAAGTACTAGTTTCCTTTTTGTTTAAGTCGTTAGTATGCGTGTGCCCTCTTGTTGTATATTACCTTGCGCATTCGCTTAAGAATTGCCTATAGGTAACAGCGAATTCTTGTTTCCGGAGAAAGACACGCTGTTCACTAGAATGAACTTTAACATAAATCCTCTCCCATTTTCCTATTACGTGTACAATTTGTAGTTCCTGCTACTTTTTAGTTTGATACATCTGGAACCGCCATTATCATGACATCGGAAGAAAACAAAGTTTGCCTTTGGTTTTCGATAACAGCCTTTTTAAGGCAAGGTATGAGGCCTGCGGTGGGGAAGACGAAAATATTGAAAGCAGGTAGTGTTCTCTTTATCCGTCATATTTAAAAACTTCCAAGCCTAAACTATTGCATTGCGGATCATTTGAATACAGAGATAGCGATAGGTTTAGTGGATGATAAGCAGAGTTTGCTTGAGTGGATTGACTCGACATTTTTCGCCTTACGTTTTCGAAAGAATCCGTCCTTCTATGGTAAGCATAGCACTTCTGTTTTTCAAACTTGCGACAGGAGCAAACGACTTTCACTCACCGCGTCTGGCATCGAGCGAAATTCACCGTACCTACATACATTCACAGTAATTTTGCTCCCTTTAGGCATTGGTTTGGCCGCAAGTGATGACCTAGCTAAACTGGGAGCGTTATATTACTCCCCAGCAGATGAAACTCTGAACTGCACTGGTTTGATTTATGTTTTTCTATTCCGCATTTAAAGTTATCGGCCGGCTAATGAGTGAGCATTTCCTGGGATACTCAACAGTTGAATCTTTTTTAAATCTCACTGGTAATGAGAAGATGAATGATCTGGTAGGTTTATCATGTCCTTCAATTTTGGTCCCCTTCGATAATTGCACCTTAACTTGACCTTTGGAGTCTTGCTTCAGATATGCTTTGTCGCCAAGTCTCGCGAATTTGGAGATATCTCTTTACGCCAACAGGAGAAGTATCTGCTGAATCGCCTCAATAAGGCAAGCGGACTTCAAAAGCTGAGGTAAATGTCATTACCCAGTATGCTTGTGAACGTATCTGGTTTTTGGTTTCGGTTTTAAAATGGCGAAGTATATGAGCCAGTTTCACTTTATTGTGAAAAGGCAGACATACTTTTAAGATTACAAAGCATGTTTATTTCATGAGCTTCGAAATACAAACTCAGTCAACGACTACATCAGTTGACAGGCTGTTGGGCATTACTCCATTACTAGTTTATCTTAGTTGGGTGGGGGGGCTTGCTAATCCTACTGGCAGATATTCGCAGGTTCTAATGAATTACGTAACTGCAATATATTCTTACAAACAATTCGACGACAGCTTTAGAAGTTCTTCTAGATTTGTTCAATCATTTCCCGCAAATACTGTACAGACACTCCATCAGTTTTATTCACAAATCAGAATATCCTTTCAGGATATTTAAATGCTGGCATCTAACAGAACTGATGATGGAGTAGAAATAGGTTAAAGTGATCTGCTTATTCACAGACTGTTCGTTTCTTTTCCTAGGTATCCCGTACCTGGCAGCATTTCCTCACCAGATGCGAAAATATCAGTTTTGCTGCAGGCTCAACTGAATGACCATGTTGTCTTGGATTCCACACTTCAGGCTGATGCCAACAAAATCATTATTTGCTTCATTCGTACAATAATAGGTAATCTTTTGAGGCTCATTTTATGCACATTTTTCGTTCCCTATC